CCCTGATAGTGTCTCAGATACCTTCTGGAACCTAACCCAAGGAGAAAGATTTGACATGTGCAGTATAAGGAAAAAATAGACTCCATATTTTTGCTCTCCAAGCTACACATATTTGACTATAGGATTTCTTTTTTTTAATCCTCCTTTAATTTATAAGATGGTCCAAACAAAGTCAAAGGTTATGATTAACTGGGAAAACATTTTTTCTAGCTAAAACAAAGGGTTGATATCAGCAACATGTCAAGAACTTTGGCAAACTGATAATAAAAGTAAAAAAGTTTCCAAGAAAATAGGTGAATCATATACTCATACATTCACATTAGGAGTACATACCAATTGACGTATATAGAGCAAATTAAAGTAAGGAAATTATATTAACTTTTGTCCAGCATATTGGCAAAGACTATCTGAATGCAATCCACTGTTGGTGAGGATGTGAAGAGCATTTCATACACTGTCTTTGTCACTTAGGCGCGCACGGAGTCTGGCAGCTGTGCCGGCGCTGCTCATCTACTCTGATGAAGCAAAACCACTTGCCCTCGGGAACAGGTGTGATTTATACTGTAGCTCAAAACTGCATGTTTGGATAAACTGGCTGCATACACTCATGGAATATTATTCAGATATTAAACATACTGAGTTAGAGCCACACCTATGGAATTGTAGGGATGTCTGCTGTGAAACAATGAATGAAGTTGCACAGATATTAATATCTCATGAAGACTTCTTTGTAAAGCTCAACAGGGACAGACATTTGCCATTGATGTATGTGTGTGGACACGTTCATAGAGGAGGGACAAGACAGTCCAAAGCTGTGAGAGTCAGGCACCAGTACGTTCACTCTGGTTCCATGATGGTGTTAGAAGGATGGGGCTGGGGGGACAAGAAAGGGAGATACTGGATTAAGTGGAGAAACGTAAGCATGCGCATTATTCACCGAAAGTGCAGGTTCTAATGTCTGTTTAGTATGTTTGCATATGTAAAAATGAGTATGCATGATAATTAGAGTAAAATTCAGGGAAAGGTAAAAAAAAGCATCTATTTGATTAAAGGATAGGATTGTGGACTTCTGGGACTTCATTTTTTCAAATAAAATTATTTTAGAAAAATTTTAGATATAACAGAAAAGTTACAAAAATATTACAGAGTTCTTATGTACCCTCATCAGTAATATCTTACATTATCATGATGCATATACCAAAACTAAGAAATTGACACTGGTACATTACTATTACTAAACTGTGGATTTCATTTGCATTTCATCAGTTTTTCTATTATTATCCTCCTTCAGTTCCAGGGTCCAACCTGGAGCCACACTGCCAAAATGGTCATGCCAAAGGTGTCATGTTATGATGGACTTTTAAAACTTACTGGGGCTGCTGTCATAGCTGCTTCTCCGTTGTCTTTAAGGCTTCAACATTTACTTTAGTATAAGTTTGGAATAAAGTAAAAGGATCTTGAATGACTTGATCATGTTTAGTTTGGGTGTTTTTGTGAGACACTCAAGGTCATTCCTCAGACACCCTTTCTGACCGGGTCTATCTTTCCACCCACCTTCCAGCTCAGTACCCTGGACCACAACAGAGTGACAGACAGGAAAAAGAATAAAGGCAAGAGAAGACAGAAGTCAAACCAGGTGCATCTCCTACATGGCCTTTGTCTTGCTATTACTCCTCAGTCAGCCATGAGGGCTGGAGGGTCTCTGTGGCCCTGGGTTGGAGGACGGCACTGAACCATATTTTATTTCTGGTCAAGATATCTGTGAAAATAACCCTTCTTAACACCAGCATTATTCACAGTAGCCCACAAATAGAAACAACCTAAATGTCCACTGATGTATGACTACACAAAATATGGTATGTACGTACCATGTATATGGGATGGAATGGATTATTATCCAGCCTGAAAAAGGAAATTCTGGCACCTGCTACAACATGGATGAACCTTGAGGATCCTATGCTGAGTGAGAGAAGCCGGTCATAAAAGGACAGACACTGTATGAGGGACCTAGAGTTGTCAGATTCACAGAGAAAGTAGGACGGTGGGCACCATGGCCCAGGGCTTGGTGGGGAGTTAGTGGTTAATGGGGACAGACTGAGGAAGATGACAAGGTCTGGAGGTGGATGGTGGTAATGGTTCCATAATGAAGTGAATGTGCTTAGTGCCACTGGACTGAGCACTGAAAATGGTTACAATGGTAGATTTTATGTCATGCATATTTTACCACTATTAAAAAACAAGTGTTTGAGGGTTTAACATCCAAAATACATAAAGAACTTAAATGCCTCAACACCCAAAAAGCAAATAACCCAATTAAAAAATGGGTGGAGGATATAAAGAGACAGTTCTCCAAAGAAGAAATTCAGATGGCCAACAGACACATGAAAAGATGCTCCGCATCACTAATCATCAGGGAAATGCAAATTAAAACCACATTGAGATATCACCTCATACCAGTAAGGATGGCCAGCATCAAAAAGACTAAGAACAACAAATGCTGGTGAGGATGCAGAGAAAGGGGAACCCTCCTACACTGCTGGTGGGACGGTGAGCTAGTTCAACTGTTGTGGAAAGCAATATGGAGGTTCCTCAAAAAACTAAAAATAGAAATACCATTTGACCTGGGAATCCCACTCCTTGGAATTTACTCCAAGAATACAACTTCTTAGGTTCAAAAAGACATATGCATCCCTATGTTTATTGCAGCACTTTTTACAATAGCCAAGATACGGAATCAACCTAAGTGTCCATCAGTAGAAAAATGGATAAAGATGTGGTACATCTACACAATGGAATACTATTCAGCCACAAGAAAGAAACAAATCCTACCATTTGCAGCAACGTGGATGGAGCTAGAGGGTATCATGCTCAGGGAAATAAGCCAGGTGGAGAAAGAGAAGTGCCAAATGATTTCCCTCATTTGTGGAGTATAACAATGAAGCAAAACTGAAGGAGCAAAATGGCAGCAGACTCATAGACCCCAAGAAGGAACTAGTGGTTACCAAAGGGGACGTGTGTGGGAGGGCAGGTGGGGAGGTAGGGAGAAGGGGATTAAGGGGTATTATGTTTAGGACACGTGGTGTGGGGGATCACGGGGAAAACAGTGTAGCACAGAGAAGGCACATAGTGGATTTGTGGCATCGTACTATGCTGATGGATAGTGACTGCATGGGGGTATGGGTGGGGACTTGATAACATGGGTAAATGTAGTAACCACATTGTTTTTTCATGTGAAACCTTCATAAGAGTGTATATCAATAATGCCTTAAGAAAAAATAAACAAAAACAAAAACAAAAGAAAAACAAGTGTCTGTACAAATAATCTTTGGACACTGGTTTACACAGTCAGGAGGCGCTCTCCTGTCCTCTTCTGTGGTTGAACACAGAAAACTAATCATTTGAAGTCGTTTAGGTGCGGACCCCCAGGTGACAGGAGACACAAAAGGATCCCTGGTGATTTGCGTGCTTTCGTTTGCACTGTGACAATGTGGAGGAAATGACAGAAATGACAGCAAAAAGTGGGATTAAAAAAACTCACGAAAAGGATAAATCAGAACACCTAAGTCTGGGGCAACAATGAAAGCACAGCATGGCTGTGCGCCGCCCCGGGACAGCCGCCCCCTCTGCTGTGTGCCTCGAGGACAGAGGGCGCTTTGATCATCAGCCTCCGGTACAATCGTCCCCTGAGGCCTCAGAGAAAGGACTTGGGGTGAGTCACCGAGAAACCACACAGCGTGCCCTGGGTGCGGGCACACAAACACCTGGGCCCGGAACCTCACCCCTCATTCTCATTCACTGACAGCTGGGAATATTGTAAGAGGAGGCACTCAGTTTTTTTTCCCCAGAAGCCAACCCTCATTTAAAAGAACGAAAAGTAAAAAACTAGATTAAGGAAGCAGTAGGATGCTGCAGGGGCTGTGAGTGAAATCAAAGAGAAACTTTCGTAACTGAGGTACCATGTCCCACACTTGGGATTGGTGCTTAGGGTATGAAGTTTCAGGTCAGTTTCTCATGCAGTATTTATCTGTGCTAATGAGAGTGTTTCAGTGGGGAATGAAGGATTAACCTGAGGCTTTTGGGGAGGCTTCAGATCTAATACAATAAAATCAGTCTTTTGCTGCCTAACAAATCTCAACGGCTTTAAACCACACACCAGGTTCTGCGGGTCAGGTCCTGGGTCTCCGATCTGGAGCCATGGGCCTGCAGCCCCCTCAGGATTAGAGAAGGAGCCCCCTCAAGGCCCCCTCTCACTGGCCTTGGCACACGATGGGTTGAAGCCCTTGGTTCTTCACTGGCCGTGGGCTGGAGCCCTCATGGAGCAGCTGGCAGGGGGCAGCTGGCTTCCTGCAGAGTAAGCAAGCAAAAAGTCAGAGAGGGTGTGAGAGAGACTCCAGGGGCCCATCCCTGGAGGCCCTTTTAGAAGCTGCCGACCACAGTCAAGACATTGCTGGAAACAGAGGCTGGCGGTGAGTTACAGCAGGTGGCATGTGCTTTGGGACCTGGCTTCTCTCTGTCCTGACAAGGTTCCACCCAGGGAAGGTGGGACAGGCTCCTCTAGTGGGTGGAGGGGAGGCAGTGCACAGAAACGGGGGTAGGTTCCTGTTACGTGGCCCTCCTGAGGGAGCCTAGTCCTGGTGGGAGCAGAGCCCCCTCTGCCGGAGCCCGTCTTCATCCGCCTCAGGAACGTGCACCTCTGCCTGCCAAGGGCAGCCTGGGAGAGCATGGGGGAAAGGCGTGGTGGAGGGCATGAGGGGAAAGAAGCCAGAGCCCACTGTCCCAGGGACGCCTGGGGAACGGCAGCCGCTCTCCATGCTCTGTAACCAGCAGCTCAGCCAGGGGAGCCTGGCTTGCCCTCCCTGGGACTGTTAAGAGGCAGGGCTGTTGAATGCTCCTATAAGCCAGACGTGGGTTAAGTGCCTCCCTGTGTCATCCCTGTGTCACCTGACTTAGCCTCACATGAGCTGTGTGGAGGGGGAGCTGTTTTCCCTCCAGCAGTAAATCTGGGAAACTGCACTTGCAGGATTGAGTTATTTGCCCAAAGGCCTGGGGCCAGTGGATGAGAGCACTCAGATTCCATGGCTGGACTGGACACACAGCCTCCACTTCTCCCCATGACAGGTCAGTGGAGGGGTTATGTCCGATACGGACACCACTTACCATTAGCCAGTCAGCCATGCATCACCAACCTGTAGCTGAATGCTTTTTCCCTAAGACTGTAGCTACCAGCTTTCCGAGGCTTTGCTCCACTGCAGCCAGTGGCCGTGGGCACTAAGACCCTGGCTCAGAGGAAGGACCCTGCTCCCACCGTAGTAGCCATCTGGGAAGGGGCGAGAGGTGCCAGGACCTGAGCAGCACTCCTGGAGTCCTTCCTGGGAGGCTAATACCTACTTCCGCCCCTGCTGGGTCCCAGTGGCGCTCTCCAGGATGGTGGTACCTCCCACCAGGAATGTATGAGTAATCCAGGGCCTCAACATCTTCACATACATTTGCTGTGAAGAACACCATTTTGGGGTTCTTTGTTTTAAGCCGTTCTGACAGTTGTACAGTGATATCTCATTGTGTCTTATTGTACATTTCCCTAAAAGCTAATGATGTCGAACAGCTTTTCATCTGCTTAATTGCCACGTGTATATTCTTTCTGTGAAATGGCTTTCTGTCTATTTCTAACTGGATTTTTTTTTTTACTGTTCAGTTTTAAGAGTTTTTTATGTAGCCCAGATATTAGCCCCTTGTCAGATAGGTGGTTTGCAAATATTTTCACCCAGTCTATAGCTTTTCTCATCTTCTTATGAGGATCATTTGCAGAGCAAGAGTGTTTAATTTTGATGAGATCCAATTTAACAAGCCTTCCTGTTCTTTGCAGCAGACTTTAGTGTCAAGTTTAAGAAATATTTTCCTACTTTAGATACTGATTTTTTTCCTTCTTTTTCTTCTGAATGTTATATACACTTACGTTCATGAACCGTTTTGAGTTAAGTTTAATATAGACTATAAGAATTTAGTGAAAGTTCATGTTTTGCCTAAGGATGCCTAAATGCTCCAGAAGCATTTGTTTAAAAAGGCTGTCTTTCCTCTATTGAATTCTTTTTGCACATTTGTCAAACACCAGTTGGGTGTATTTGTATAAGTCTATTTCTGGGTTCTCTCTTCCAGTCCACTGATCTATCTTTCTTTGCTTTCCCATGTAAATTTTAGAATAATATTGTAAATATCAACAAAACATCTTCTGGGAGTTTGAACAAAGTTGTGTTAAGCCTATAGATCAATGTGGGAAAAAGTGACCTCCCCGTGTGGAGTCTTCAAATCTCTAAGCATGATCTTGCTCTCCATTTATTTAGATCTTTGATTTCTCTCATCAGTGTTTTGTAATACATGTCCTATACATGTTTTTGTTGGATTTGTACTTTAACATTTCATTTCTTTTGGTTATTATAAATGGTGTCATATCTTAATCTCAGTGGTCACATGTTTATTGCTAGTGCACAGAAGCACAGTTGATTTTCATATGTTTATCTTTTATCCTGCAATATTGCTCAGCTCTCTCATTAGCTCAAGGTGTGTTTTTGTAGATTCCATGGGATTTTCTAAGTAGAAAATCATGTTCTCTAGAATGGGAATGGTTTTATTTCTTTCCTCCTGCTTAGTACACTGTTTTTTCCCCTTTCTTGACTTATTGCAGTGGCTATAATTCCCAACACTATATTGAATAAGAATCTGAGAGCAGACATCCTTGTCTTGTTCCCAGTCTTAGGGAAGAAGCATTCAGTATCTCATCACTAAGTATAGTGTGACCTGTAGGACTTTTGTAGATACTGTTTATGGAGTTGAGGAACTTTCATTCCTATTGCTATATTCTGAGTGTTTTTTATTTTAAATCATGAATGGATATTGAATTTTGTCAATGTTTATTCTGCATCAACTAATGTAACCAGGTGAATTTTCTTCTTTAGCTTGTTAATATGGTGGATTACAGTAATTGAACTGTGAGTATTGAGACAGCCTTCTATCCCTGGGACAAAACCCACTTGTTCGTGGTGTACAATCAGTTTTATATATTGCTGAATTATATTTGCAAACATTTCATTAAAGGTTTTTGCACTTGTATTTATGAGGAATATTGGTCTGTGGTTTTCTTTTGCATACTCTTTCTAGTTTTTGTGTCAAGGTAATGTTAGATTCATAAAATTAATTTGAAAGTGTTATTTTCTCTTTTTTTTGGGAAGAGATTGTGTATAATGTGTAGTAATTTAAAAATATTTGGAAGAACTTTTCAATAAAACTATCGGCCTAGAGATTTCTTTTTGGGGATTTTCAAAATTACTAGTTCAGTATTAAGAGTAATAGGGCTATTCAAATGATATATTTCATATTAGGTAAGTTGTGGCAACTTACGCTTTTCAAGAAATTGTTCCATTTCCTCCAAGTTGTCAAATGTGTGTGTGTAGTATTGTTCATAGCATTCTTACTGCCCTTTTAATATCTGTAGGTTCTGAAATGACATCCTCTGTTTTATGCTTAATATTGGTAATCTGTGTCATCTCTCTCTTATTTGTTAGAGTTGCTTCAAGTTTGTCAATTTTATTCAAAGATCCAGTTCTTTGTTTCATTGATTTGCTTTATTTTATTGATTTCTGCTCTTTACCATTTTCTCCCTTCATTTTGCTTTGGGTTTATTTTGTTCTTTCTCTAGACACTTGAGGTGAGAGTTTAGATTACTGATTTGAAACCTTTTGTCTTCTCTAATATATCCATTTAATTAATCCATTTAATCCAATTTTCCCTCTCATCACTGCTCTAGTGGTGTTCCATAAATTTTGATATGTTGTGTTTTCATTTTCATTTGATTCAGTGCATTTTTATTTCTCCTGAGACTTCTTCTTCAACCCATAGATTACTTAGAAGGGTATCATTTAGTTTGTAAGTATTTGGGGATTTCCTTCTTACTGTTTTTCGATTTCTAGTTTTATTCCATTGTGGTCAGAGAACATACTCTATACAATTTACATTCTTTTAATTTTTTTTAGGTTTTTTTTATGGCCCACAACATTGACTTTTTGGTATATATTGTGTGGACACTTGAAGAAAGTATATATCCTACTGTTGTTGAGTAGACTGTTCTAGAAAAGTGCACTAGATCCAATTGGTTGATGGTGTTGCTGGATTTTTGTCTAGTTCTGTTGATTGTTGAGAAAGGAATGTTGAAATTGAGAAAGGAATGTTGAAATCTCTATAATTGTGGACTTCTTTCAGTTCTATTAGCTTATTATATGCTTCACATATTTTTGGGCTCTGTTGCTGAGTGCATATAAATTTAAGATAACTGTATTTTACTATTGGGTTGGTGTTTTTATCATTATGGAATGACTATCTCTGTGGTGATTGTCTTTGCTCTGAAGTCTGCTTTATCTGATATTAATATAGCCATTGCTGCTTTCATGAATATTTGCATGACACATTTTCTCTATTCTTTTATTTTCAAAATGCTTATACCAGCTATTTGAAGTGTAGACAGCTTCTTATAGATAGCATATAGTTGGGTTATTTTTTTCAGTCTACTCCATTAATTTCCATCTTTATATGATGTGTTTAGACCATTTATATTTAGTGTAATTACTGGTATGTTGGCTTATATCTACCATTTTATTACTTTTTAAGTTTTTCTCAGTTGTTCCTTTCTCTGTTTTCTTTTTCTGGCCTTTCTGTGGGTTACTCAAACATTTTTTATGATTTTGTTTGCATTTAACTATTATGTTTTGAGTGTATCTTCTTATATAGCTTTTACTTAGCAGTTGTTCTAGATATTACATTATACATCCATATGTGCTAGTGTTGTCATTTTACCAGTTCAAGTGAAGTGTAGAAAACTTACACACACTCCTCCACTTAAAATATGACTACCTTAAATATTTCCTTTAAGTACATTTAAAATCATATCAGACAGTGTTATAATCTTTGCTTAAACTGTCAAACATTATTCAGAAAACTCAAGAGCAGGGCAGTCTCTTATGTTTATTCATACTTTTGCTTACCATGTTCTTCCCTCTTCCCTGATATTCCAGGCTTCCTTTTTTTATTGTTTCTTTTCTGTTTATAGGACTTCCTTCAGCCATTCTTCTAGGGTAGTTCTGATTGCAACAAATTATATTAATTTCTTTTATATGAAAATGTCTTGATTTTCCCTATATTCGAATGTAGAAATAATATATAAGATGCGTTCTTGTATAGGATTCATAAATAGAATGTAGGATTCTGGGTTGACAATTCTTTTCTTTCAGCAGTTGAAAAATATTGTGCGACTTCCTTTTGATCTCTATGGTTTCTGATGAGGAATCCATTGTCATAAAAATTGTTTTTCACTATTGGTGAGGTGTCATTTCTTTCTCACTGCTTTCAGCATGTGTTCTTTATTTTTATTTTTCATGTATTTGACTATTTATATGTCTTGGCTTGGATTTCTTTGAGTGTATACTGCTTGGTGGTATATTGGTGGTATATATTGGTGGTATATTTTTTCCCAATACAGGAAATTTTCAGCGATCATTTCTTTGATTACCTTGACAGTTCTATATTTTTTCTCCTCTCCTTCCAGTGCTCAAATGGTAAAAATGTTAGATATTTTGTAATAGTCCCACAATTCCTGAGACTCCGCTTATTTTTTCCCATCTGTATCTTTCTCTCTCTTGCTCAAATTGAGCTATTTCTATTGCTCTATTTTTCCACTCACTGATTCTTTCTTCTGTTGCCTCCATTCTGCTACTGTGTTGCCATTTATTTTTTATTTTTTGGTTTTTACGGTTATTTTTGGTTTTATTTTATGGTTATTATGTTTTCCAATTTTAAGAATTCATTAGGTTCTTCTTTATACGTTCTATTTCTTTACTGAGAATTTCAAATATTTTATGTGTTTCAAGCATGTGTACAATTCCTTCCTGAAGAATTTTTTATGATGATACTTTTAAAGTCTTTGTCAGATAATTTTAACATTCCTGTCATCTTGGCACTAGGATCTACTAGTTACACCTTTTTTCATTTAATTTGAAATCTTCCTATGATGAGTAACTTTTAATTGAAACCTGGAAATTTGGGGCCTGTGGCATGAGAATTTGAATTGTATTTAAATGTCCTATTTTATTTGGCTTTCAATGACACTGCTCTGGTGGAGGAAGGAGAGGCAGTGTGTTTTGGGATCCCCAGAAAGGATGGAAGATAAGCCTTCCCACTTAGCTTTTGCTGGCATGGATGGGGGTTGGCCACAGTTTTTAGTGGTGTTTGGCTAAGAGGAGATCATTTATTATTTAAAGGTTTCTATTTTGCTAGTCTGTGCCCTCTTTGGTTAGAGAAAGCAGAATTTGGTTGAGGTATTTTTGTGTACACATTCTTCACCCAGGAACTCCCAACATGTTGATGCTTGCCTCCCAAGGTCCCCAGGTGGACTGCCTTCTTCTCTCCATCCCCAGAATCTTCTTAGGATGTTGTTTATAGAAGGTCAGGGTGTTTTGTTGTATGTCATGGGAGGAATAGGGAAACAAACATCTACTCCATCTTCCCAGTAACATAAGCTAAATAAGCTCATTTTGCAACCAAGAAAAAATCTTGTAATGCTGGGATTGCAGTTTCTCAAAGCAGTTTCAAAAGATGGTACGGAGCGCAAGAACTGGGGGATGCAACATTGTCCAACATACCAAAACTTAATACATGAACATATTTTCATTAGGGTATTTGTTTCTTTAGCTGGATATCATGATAGAATAAATGAAAGGAAATGAATGAACCTCGGGACTGATAAGTGTGAGGTACCATTAGTTAAACCAACAGCATACATTAAGTTGTGTTGGAGAAGAGATTGTAATCACTAAGAGAGCTTGATCTGCTCAAGGTGATGTTCCCAAATGACAGTGAATTTTTTCCAGCTTCTATTTCTCTTCCTACCTCCTAAGGGGAATTTTATTATTTACTTTACCTGGAAAATATGTGTTGGGATTTACTTACTTCCATTTCATCAATAATTAATTGGTTATGTAACAAAGGGTAAAAACCTTTTTTGCTAATCAAATTTAAAAACCTGATATTCTGAACTAAAATAAAATCTTGAAGATGTACTTTTACAAACCCAGCTTGGTGTCATGCTGGCCTCCAGCGGGAATGCGAGGGAGGTCAGCCTTCTGGGGCTGCCATGACAAAGCACCACAGTCCGGGAAGCTTAAACGACAGAAACATGTTTTCTTACAGGACTGGAGGCTGGGAGTCTGAGACCAACACATAGGCGGGAGGGTTTCTCTTGCAGCCTCTCTCCTGGGTGTGTAGATGGCCATCCTCTCCCTGTGTCCTCACACAGTCTTCCATCTGTGTGTGTCTGTGTCCTACCCCCTCCTCTCACAAGGACACAAGTCACAGTGGATTAGGGGCCACCCACACGGCCTTGTTTAACCTTAATTACCTTCTAAAGATCTGGTCTCCAAACAGAGTCACACTCTGAGGTCCTGGGGGTGAGGACTTCAACATATGAACTTGAGGGGATGCAGTTAGCCATCAGAGGGTTAGCCCGCTTGAAGCCAGTACCTGCATCCCTTAGGGTGGCCGCCACCAGCCGTGTCTGACCTGGACAGTCCTACTATCCCTGTACCGTTCCTTGTCAAAGTGTTTGGACCCTTCACCCCTTCCAAGTCTGTACCTTTACCACCAGATGAGAGATGCCATAGATTGTGTTTTTGGTGTTTGTTTTCAAGTTTCATACATCATTACCACCATGGACCAGATCTTTCTAAAAATGCTCATGTGGACCTTTGACTTCCTTCCCTGCCATGGTCTGTGGCCCCATGTCAGCATGCCAGCCCACCTGCCTGCTGGCCCTGCTTCTTCTCCCTCCTGTCCCGCCAAACCCTGCTGTGAATGCCGGGAGAGGCTGCATGGCTGCCTGAGCTCCATCAGCTGACCCCTGGTCTGTGCCCTTGGTGCAGCAGTATCATGGAGCTGTGAAATGTGTTAGGGAGACCTAACTCAAAACTGGACTGAGGAAGACATGAAGGGGTGGGGGGTGGGGGGCTGTCATGCATGTACCACTGCTGGCAGCTCACAGTCCAGCAGGAAAGGGGAAGATTTCATCTCAGACCCGTGATAGCAAGCTGCCCTGGTCTGCAGCCCATGAGAGGCCTCCACTTTCAACTCTCCTTTTCCTTCACTGAATTTTGTTCAAAGCAGCAACCCCCACCAACTTCCTCCTTTCCACTATAAAAGGCTGTTTCCCCCTTTGTTTTCCAGACTTGCCTATAGTGCACCATTGTTTGCTTTGCCCAAATTGCAATTTCTCTGCTATTCCCAAATAAACTTGATCACCTTTTTCTTTTAAAAGATTGATGGCACCAAACATTTTCCCCTATCATGCAACATTTATCTTTCTTCCTCAGGGTTAACTGCATCAGCTTCTGCTGCCAGGTCCATGCCAGGCCAGGGTTCTGGTGAACTTGGGAAGAAACCTCCCCACATGCGTTCTAATTCTTCTGGTAAGATTAGAAGGTTTTTGCTCCTACTATGCTGTACACTGCATGAGGACCATGTCTGTCTTTATCTTTTTAGCCCAAGGTGCTTTAGGGTAAATGATGGCACAGAATATACCTCAGTAAACATTTGTGTCATCAGTGCGGCCTGGAAGTTCTGCCTACAGAAAAGTGCAGCAGGACAAAGCCAAGGTGAATTGTTCTCATTGCTTCCCTCCCTCCACACCTGGATGCAGAGCAGGCCGTGTTCCTGAAGGAAGAAGCCCCCTTAGGAGGTGAGCTGCAGAAACCGAAGGGCACTGTGAGGCTCAGTGGTGTCTGAGTCAGGAGTGGTGTACGGAGGAGCAGGCACTTCATGCCCTGTACACCATCCCTGCTGGCTCACAGGGAAGCACTGAGCACAATGCTGTCTGGGTAACTTGTATTCAGCTGTGACATTTGACTTAAGTATCAAGACTTCAGACAATTCTTTTTTTTTTTGCCTCCCAGCCAGCTATCACTTTTCCAGGCAAGAATTCTACATTTTCCCAATGGGGTACCCTTCGCACAGTGCACACCTCCCCAGTGAGGGCAGATACTCTCTGCATCCTGTTTACAATTGTGACATTGTCCAACTGATGACTGGGGTGGAGAAGCCAGGCAGGGGCTAGTGACCTGGCTGGTCTTCAAGCTGGGCAAACTTGGAGGCTTTGCCTGTAGGGCACATGACCCAGTAGGTGATGATTGTTGCAAGAGACCTGGGTCCTTTCCTTGCCTTCACTTACTAATGGTGTGAGCTCTGACAAAGTACTCAGCCATCCCTCCTAGGCACAAAATGAGGTGACACTTTCCCCAACTGGGCATGGGATGCCCCTGTACCAGGACCCCAGGGGTGCTGCATGGCTCCCTAGGAACAGGCCTGGGCTCGGTGGGCTTCCTTTTCTCTCCCTCTCCGTTCTCACCCTGCTAACGCCCCAGATGCCTGGACAGCACAGAGGAATTGGCTTCACCCCTGGTGGTCTGCATGGATGCTGGGTAAGGGGCAGAAGGATGGGAGTAGCCCACCCTCACTGGCTGCCTCCTCATGCCCCATGGAGCCTCGCAGGTAGGGCAGCTGGACTTAGCAAATGGAAGTACAGGACAGCCAGTTAAGGAGGAATTTCAGAGAGACACTGAAAAATGTCTTAGGATAGGTATGTCTCAGGCAGTGTTTGGGATATACTTATACTAATTTTTTACCTAAAATTTGGATTTAAACTGGGCAGCCTGTGTTTTATCAGGAAACCCTCCCCAGAGTCACAGCAACCTGATTTCTTCATTTTACCAGCACCAATCATACCGGTAAGCAAACATCACATAGGATGGAGAGCCCATGTCTCAGTCCTCCACGTCTGCCGCTGGACTGCTGCTGAGACGGTCAAGGGGTACCTTTTTCCTCTGTGCCTCGGAGGTTCCTGATGTCGCATAAGTCCCTGGGCACAGGAATCCAGCTCTGTATCTCAGTCTTCTCCTTCCAGACCAGGATTTGGAGCCTTGGAACCCCACTCAAAGCAGTTAGCCCATGAATTTGCATTAGGCCGGGCTCAGCCATCTGGAGACCAGCAACGCCCTCCCCTGGCAGGAAGCACTGGGACCCCTCCTCTCCGTCCTGCTCCTCACCTTCTCCCCACACCCTGTGTTGCTCAGAGTCAGAACTATCCACACACAAACATGCACACATGCACAGACACAGTCATTCACACATGCCCAAATATACAGAGCTGTCTACACAAACACATGCAAACATATCACATATACACACATGTGCATGTGCACATGCAAATGCATGCACATGCACACACATAGGTACTTGTGCACATATACATGTGTATGCCTACACACATGTACACACACAGGCACATTATTTGAAGACACAGACACACAGGGAGCAGGCGGCCATGTGATGATAGAGGCTGGAGTGATGCAGTCACAAGCCAAGGGCCACTTGGGGTCACCAGAAGCTGGAAGAGGCAGGAAGGGCCCTCCAACCCAGAGACTTGAGAGGGAGCATGGCCCTGCTGACAGCTGTATTTCAGATTCTGGCCTCCAGTACTCTGAGAAATTAATTTCTGTGTTTCAAGCCACCCAGTGGTCCTTTGTTATGGCAGCCCCAGGAAACTCATAATAGGCCCTCAAACACAAAGCAGTAACAATCAGCCTGCGGATGCGGTCCATTATCCAGCTGACCTAGAAAACACAGGGCTAAAACCGGCAAATCTGGTAACAAACACCTGAGAACTAAGCCCTTCTTCAGGCACATTAAACCAGGCAGAAGCTGACCCACAAGCCAGGCAGGTGACAGCAGAGCCATCAGGGTCACCCAACAGAAAACTCTGGGCTCTGGAAGCCTCGGGCCTTATGGCAGCCTGTTGAGGATGGTTTTGCAGACACAAGCCTCAGGCAGCTGCAGCCACGGGGAAGGGCTGGAGCCGCCCTGGGAAGGTCGCCTGAGGGGAGCCCCCACGTGGACTGAGTGGGCCGGGCTGGGGCAGCCAGGCAGGGAGGCCCTGCAGGGCCAGGGAGCAAGGCCCAGTGGAAACCAGTGGTCTTGGGAAGCTGTGGGAGCTGATATTTTAAAAACCTATGCCTAGAGTCATCCATTTTATATTCTGAAATAATAATACAATTTGAACAGTTCATCTAAAAAAGGGTCCTTGGTCCCTAATTCCCCATGAAAGGACACTTTGTCTCTCACTCTCTCTCAGGGGTTCACGCTCTCTGCCCAAGCTGTGGCTGTTGGCTGTCACTGCTCATGCACGGCTGATGCTCAGAGCAGGTGGGTCACAGGACGCCTCGGACGAGCTGTCCTGATGCTTGAGCAAGGGCCAGACCCGATGCACCGTCAGACCAGCGTGCGTCCCGCCAAGGCAGAAAGTCCCTGCACCACTGCACCTCCGAGAAGAACCGAAGGAAGAGCCACCTGGTGACGACCTTTCTCCTCTTCTCTGAAATCTGGTGCCATAACTTCACAAAAACTTTTGATCTAGAGCTGCTCTGAAGATTAAAAAACAAAAAAACAAAAGTTAATCCCCATGCTTATAGAGATTATCTGTTCTGTTCTATGTTCCATCCTGGTAAAAATTGTCAGTGCTATTTATAAATTCTGGAGTAAAAGGAGTCCTGGCTAATGCAGGAGGAGCTTTTCAGACCATGTAAACAGTAGGCAAAGATTTTGAGGCCAGATTAAGAGCAACTTTCAGATGCCCTAAAACCATGGTGCTCGTTGATCGTAGTGAATGCTCTGCCACCAGTTCCGTTGGTGTGGGGCGACTGTGGGGCCACAAGGAAATTTTACTCCAGCTCTTCCATCCTCAGTTTCTTCATACTTAAATCATGAATAAACACAATAGCGATAATTGAATGTGGCCACCCGTAAAAATGCGATGTTGTAAGCGCCCTTTGGGAACAGTGAGGATCTGCGCTCACTTACCCAGCAGCTTGCCCGCCCCCAGGCGATGTGGGCTCTCACATGCCGCAAATGCCTCCTTCCTTTCCCCGAGCAGATGCCCTGCATGGTCCCCTCCTGCCCCTGTGTGCAGTGCGAGCATGTCCACATGCCTGGAGGCCCGGCCTGAGCGGCATCTGCTTTCTGGGGGTGGCCGCCTGCCGAGCCTGCTCTGTGGGTCACCCCCGAGGCCCCAGCTCTGTCCCAATCGAGGGCCTCTAGCTGGTACCCCTTCTTACCCAGTGTCACCATTCAGAGTGGCCCATCTACATACCAGCCCCAGACTTCCCTATTCTTTTTTATTTTTACCATCTGGATGCTCATCCACTCATGTTATTTTAAGTATTTTGTCTTTATTCTCTTTCCTTTCAGGCCATCTCATGCATTACTGCCACAATGATCTCTTTAAACTATGACGATTCAGCTCTTCCCTCTGTCCTTCAGCTTTGTTCTGCTCAGCTTGGACGAGCCCGAGACTGTTCCTTCCTGTCGCCTGCCCTCAGCTTTCAGCCACAGATGTCAGATATCCACAGAGCCCTCTGAGCCTTAGGCCAGGAGACCCCTCATGATGTCACGGCACCTGAGTCTGAAGCCAGACACCCCCCACCAGCCCACCCCGTGCCCCATTCATTTCCGCAGCTCAGCAGGCTGTGAGGGTCTCAGGCTCAACCTCCCAGCAGGGCCTCTGCTCCTGGTCACCACGTGGTAGAGGCTCTGCAGCAGCGCTGAGTAGGCAGCTGACACCTTCTTCCAAGCCTCACTACCATCTTCCCCAAGATAGGCATCTGTGTGTTTATTCGACTTAGAATTTTCTCTACCTCTTAAGCAAATCCTCCTCCTTCGAGGCCACATTGTCGTCTCCTCTAAGCCTTCCTGGGTTTACTCTATTTCTTATTTCCTGTATCCTTGCTGCTCTGGCTCCTGGGGTCTGGCTGGCCACGGCAGGACCGCCCCTCCGAGGGCCAATGGCTCCTGAGACAGCAAACACCCCGCCAGGGGCACGCCCTTCCCGTGCCAGCTCACCCTTGTGGGCGCACACCCCTCGCGGGGCTCTCCTAGCCCCGGCCCGCACTCCTCTGGCCTCGTCAGCCCAGGGTGGGTCCCAGACAAGGTGGCGCAGGCCCTACGAGACCATTCACAGGAGCCGACCCTAAATCTGCTTGGCAGGCTTACTCTGCCTCAGCTGCTTTCCCAGGAAAATCACAGCACAGGCTCTTGTCCCCATGTTCCCCTCGCTGCCGCTGCCTCCTGAGCGACCCTGATGCTGCCGCGCCAGCTTGGAGTGGTCCCTCATGGCACGGCGTGTCCCGGTCCCTTGGACCCGCGAGGAGCAGACTGTCTGTCCTGAGGCTGTCACCTCCCGGTCTGCTGTCCGCACTGTACTGGAATAATAGAGGCTGCACTTGAAAACACCTCCAAGCGGGAGTTAGCGTAATGGGAACCAGTGGGGTTTCCCTTTCGCACTTTTCTCTTCTGAAACCCTGGATTCCAGAGTGAAGGGAGCCAATGTGCATGTTGGGGGTAGGGACAGAACTCTGTGGAAGACAAGACAGACCCCGAGATGGCAAAAGGACCGTTTCTGGAAGAGTCAGAAAGAGAGTGGAGAGGCCAGCTTTTTGCTACGTAGAGATGGAAATAAGAAGGTGGGGGTGACCTGGAAAGGAATGTAACAGCCTTGAGAGAAGACAGAACATGAGCACAGAGCTTCCTCTGATCTGACAGCTCCGGCGGCTCCAGAGGCAGCAGCTGAACCCTTGCGATTGCGCTTCCAGACCCAGGCTCTGCCGGGGGTGGAGGGGTGGGGCGCCTGCTGCTTCCTAGGGCATGAGACGGTCACCCTCCTGCTCAGGTGTTGCCTGGCCAGACTGGTGGTAAGATTGGGGCAATCCTCCACCCAAAGCTCGTGCAAAAGTCAGCAGCCGCCTCCCCAACATGAGCTTTGTACCTGCCAGTGGAACAGCTTCCAGTTTCTTGTTCCTGATCCATTTTCTTTGTCACACCGCATCTCACTGTCCATTTTAGCCTGAGAGCCCAGATAGGCACCCTCCCCTTTCACTGGTTGCTCTACACAGATTGGGTCCTACGAGGGCAAACACAGAGTTAAGGGCTCAGCTTAAAGTTAGAATGGCCAAAATAATAGTGGCTTAACCAGCACTTCTAAAACTAGTGTACAAAAGAACCCCCTGACAACTGTGTTAAGTGCAGATTTTATTTCTAGGCATTCAGCAGACCTGAGGGAGAATGAGATTCTGGATTTCTGAAAAGGTCTGCTGGCTCAAGGAATGCCCTCTGCAGAAGGACAGCAACAACACAGTCACTTAGTTCTCTTTCCCAGGAAAGGGCTGGTGCAGAGACTGCTCTGCAGAGTCTGTGGAGATCCAGACAATTTCCTTATTGCTGTTCATTGTGGATCCCACCTTCACAAAGTCACCTCAGTGTTCAAAATAGCTGCTGCAGATCCTTCCATTGTGTCCATATCCAGCTACCATTGAGGAGGAGGGGATGAAGACACAAACAACAAAACTGCCACTCAGCTGTCTTTTAAGAAAGGCTATAAGCTGCTGTTCTGTGACACTTTGGGTTTGAAAACATTGTTTAGAACAACAAATGTTTCAATGTTTGGATGGGGAATGTCATCTTTGTGTAGAAGTTGTGTGCCCAGCTGACAGCTATTCTTTAACTGTGTGTGTAGATTGGGTAAATGGGGGAAATGTAGGCTTTGGCTTCCCTGGAGGAAAGCCAGGATTTTGTGTGTGTTTCTGAGGGTTTAGGAAGATGTCAAGCATTTATATAGGATATGTGTATTATTATTACATAAATAAAAGTAACACAATACCAGTACAACACAACAATGGGTAACAGTTGCATTAGGCACTATTTGTCAGATAATGTTCAAAGTGCTTTACATGTTTTGATTCATTTAATTCTCAGAACAACCACATGAGAAAAGTGAAGCAGAAGGAGATTGAGTAACTGGTCAGGTCATACAGCTGGTAAGTGACCTGCCAAGGACTCTAAGCAGCTGTTTCCAGGCAATATGCCCTTGACCCACTCGTGTGCTGGTACAAGTTTAACAACCTGCTCTCCAATAAAATATGCCCTGCTTGGAAACCTCTGCCAAATCCTGTGGTGTAAATACTTCAAGCTACATGATATCACCAAGCTGAGTCCGGAAGCAATCACTGTGTACTATGCCACTACATGATTCTTTCTTACATTATCATACAGTATTTGCAACCCATACATGCCATAGATGAAGCTCACCTTAAGAGCATAGATGTACAGTGTGGCAAAGTAATTAGGAAGTGGTAAGTTTTGAGTATTTGTTAATTTTGTTTCTAATATGTTTTATTTTATTGGAAGTTTCTGTCATTTAATCATGAATAATTGCTTGGTTTAATGACCAGTTAATAAAAGTTCCAGCAATTCAACAATAGGCTTTTATGACCCAGTACGAGCTGACTCTGGCTACCACTGCCTGCACCAGTATTCTTTACAAACAATTTAAAACTTAATATTATACATCTGTGCTCCTTCAAAAATACAGTCTCTTTGCCATTTCAGTCAACTGGGATTTTTTTGCCTCCAGAGCAGCAACTCACCTTTCTTTCTTCCCAATTCTGACTTCTCTGTCCCCAACTTCTCAAGAGTAAGAAATAAAATCTTAAATGTATTTTCAAAATCTCATGTTCCTAAGGAGAATAATTCAGCAATCTCTGCTTTCCTGTTTCTTGCCAGCTCCTTCTTTCTCTGACCCACATTAGTTGTGCATGCAACTTTGAAAGGAAATACAGTCCCTTTCAAAAGGGCATTTTGGTACCAGCTGTTACAGCTCTTTGTTAGTATTTTAGAATGGTGCAGCCTATGAGAGTGGGTGGCAGGAAGGATATTCTCTACCTTACGGACTGGTGTCTGTGTCCCACGAACTCACTGTGGGGTGGGCCCCTCAGAGTGTCACCGTGCTGCGGGTCGTCCTTGGTGGGTGCTTCTGGGTCAGGGGAGGAGGTGATGGTGTCCCAGTTGTTGAACTGAACAGTGACACTCAGTTCTGCTCTGTGGAGTCCAGAATGTCTTGGTTGTATGTACTTGACATCCCAAGATTCTCTTCAAAGAATGTGTTCTGCTTCCTTTTAAAAATTCTTTGAAAACCATAGATCTGGCAGATGAGAAGGGAAAGAACTGCTCCCTTTAATGAGCAGAGCTCTACTCTGCTCCTCTGCATTCAGGAGCCCTCCCTGTGCTCTAATGGGGACTGTGTCCCTCCCTGGAGCTGTCACAGCACTCTGCTATCTTCTCATAACTTGTATCTCACACACCATGGTTGTTGTTTGTGAGTATTTCTGACTATGAACTTTATAATGACATGGACCATGATTATGGATTTTGTATTCTCCTAAACTGCTTGGTAATCAAATAGATACTCTGTCACTCATCATTTAACTAACTGGATGAATAGGCAGAATGCTGCACACCATTTCATTAGCTAGTAAATGGGATTTAGGGGGGAAATCTTCCGTAATAGCCAAAGTTGTCCAGAAGTCAAAGGTAACTGGACTCTAGAAGATCATGGAATTATTTCTCTGGATCTTCTGTGAAGAGAAGGTTTAGAGTTAATGCATACAAGATTCAAGAAGGAAGGTCATAGTTCAAGCTAAGTAAACATTTTCTACATTTAAAGATGTCACAAAATAAATGGTAGTTCTGGCACTGCTGAAGTCTACAAATTCTAATTTTCCATAAAAATGCAAAGATATAGGTAAAATATTTACAAGCACATAATTTGATGAATCAAAGAAAAGAAATCTACAGATTCTGGGATCAAGTATTGAATCAGGAGATTGCCTTAGTTTGGGTTCCCCCAGCATTAGGCCCAAGAATAGATTTTAATGCATGTGGTTTATCTGGGGCATGATCCTGGAATTGAAATCTGTCAAGTGGAATGAATTCATTGCAGTGCTGAGACTCATGGTAAGGATCATGTTAGGCTTTCCCAATCTTCCCCAGAACCTGTATTTACTCCCAGACTAAAGGCAGAAATACCCACGTGGGAGGGGACAAGGCTCTAAAATAAAAGGTGCCCAAGGTAGGGTCTTTTTTTCAGCATCTGAGGCTTGGGGATGCCAGCCAATTCCCCTTACCATTATTTATATCCTTAAAGAAACTGGCCAGGCGGCATGTCTCACCCTTACTCAGGCTTGCTAGAAGGCCTCAAATCCTGGGGCAAGGCCCAAAATGAATAATGGTAAAGGAACTCCTTGGGAACTCCCTGAAGTATTCAGCTCTATGTTTTATTTACAAAAACTCCAAAGGGGGAAAAGAAAGAAAACTGGGGGTAGGGCAGGGGGGGAACAGAGCAGGATAAGCAAAGAGAATGGTCCTGAGAGAAAACAGGTGACCCAGAAAAAAGAAGAGATACTTTTAAATCTCTAGTCAGAGTTAGGGGAGAAGAAATGGCATCCATAAATTAAGATTACTGTTCAGAAGCAGAAAAATCAGAAAATAGAATAAATTCATTAAATTTAAATCATGGTACCTGCATAAAACAATTTAATAGAACTAAAAGAAAAATTTGATGAAATTGCCTAGTACAAAGAAATGAGAACTATGAGAGAGAAAATAAGAGCAATTTCAGAAAACTCAGAAAAGGACAAAGATACTAAAAGCTGCTGAAACCCAAAGGCATGTGAACGGCAATGGAAGCGGACCAAGATTGGCAGAAGAGTTTTCATCAGGAACACTACTTTTTAGAAGATGATGGAGATACCTGATGTTCTTGGGGAAATGATTTAGAACTTCAAATTCTATTCCCAGCCAAGGTATCAGTTAAACATTAAGTACAAAATGAGAAAACCTTCAGACATGCAAGAAAGGACTAGAACATTTACTTCCCATCCATAAGCATTTCTGAAAATAATATTTCTTGAGAATATACTGTAGAAAAACAAAGAATGCAACACAGGAGAACACATGGCATTTAAGCAATAATGCTCCTGGTCTAGGGGTGCATGAAAAGCAATCCAAGGGTGGCGGCTCATGCACCAAGGTTGGAAAGAAGATACAAAGGAGAAATGTTTTTTTCCCTTTCAGTGATCACACATTAGGATTTTTTCCGAGTGTGATAATATTTATGCAAATATTCTGAGTTCACAGAAGAAATGTATAATTTTAGTGCATATACACACAAATACACACAGAAAATGAATAATCTTGATGGGTTTGCTGGGAAATGATGTGGTAGGAGAGGGAAGAGGCAAGAGGTGGTGGGTAGGAATACTTCTGCAATCTTTTTACTTCTTTTATGAAAAAGGACTAGCAGTAAGTCCGCTGGCATGATCTTGGCTATGATGGCGATGCTTTTACACAGCTTCATGGAGGTATAACTGGTGTACAATAAGATGCATATATATAAATATGCATATAAATGTACATTTAGAACATACAACTGGGAAAAGTTCTGACATATGTATACAACCGTGAAGCCCTCACTACAGTCAAGATAAGTAACACATTCATCACCCCCAAAAGTTGCCCCTTGCTCCTAGTGAAACCTCCCAAGCTCACCCCATCCCTATCCCCAGGTAAACACTAATATGCCTTCAGTCACTGTCACTGGTGCTCAGACACCAGGAAATTCTGCATTTCCTAGAGTTTTACATACATGGAACCATGCAGGATGCCTGTGTCCTATGCAGTGTGACTATGTGGAGCACCACCTTTCCCGCCTGGAGGCCTGACTACGTATCACCAGCCTACCAAGAGGCAAGGAACTAGTCTCAAGGGTCTTTCTGAGCTGAGTCACCATTTTCTAATGGGACAGCAAACTGACTCAAGCTTTACCTGTCTCTCCATTTGATGAGTTCACTCCCTAGCAGGCACCCTGGCTTCTGTCTGGTGGGAATGACCACAAGCTGGTCTCACTAGAACTAAATGACCGGCATGGAGCACTAAGATCATTTTGACAGTTTCAATATGGCTATGACGATTAAACTAGCCTTGAACATAAGTAACCAGTGTTAGAAGCTCAGAGGCACTTGTGGTTAAAGGCAGCAATTTGGATCTTCAGTCACTGAGAATAAAGTGGGGACGAAGGAGCGCAGTGAGCAGGGAAGGCTCTGGGCTCCCAGACGTCTTCAGCTGATCCGTGGGAAGAGTTCTCCTCTCTTCATCGTGGCTTCTCCCCCATCTCACAAGTCACAGGGAGGAGAATCTACAGGGCCAGTCAGACAACCACCACTGGGGAGATTTTACCGCAAGGTGTGTCATGTTCCGATAATTGAGCGCTGCAGACAACACTGGCCTGAACCACCCATTTCACTGTGCTCACAGATTCTGTGGCCTGACTTGAGACACGCTCTGGGGCTTCAGCTGAGAAGACCTGGAATAGAGTGAGCTGGGCCATCTGGAAGCTTTCTCATGTGTCTGGAGCAAGGACTGGAATGGCTCAAAGATGGAATTCAGCTAGGGCTCTCGGCCCTGGGGCCTACACATGATGTCTCCCTGTGGCTTGGGTTTCTCACAGCATGGAGGCTGTGTTCCAAAACAGAGCACTTGGCAGGGAGCATCTAGAGAGCAAGAGATTTGAGAAAAACAGGCTGAAGTGGGTGGCTTTTTCTGGCCAAGTCCTGGGAGTCTCCCAGCCATAATCATGATGTCTCCGGCCATCCAGTCTGGTCACATTCTAACTACCACATCCTATTGGTTACAAGCAAGTTCCTAAGGCCAGCCCAACCTCAAGAGAGGCAGTTACACCTCACCTTCCAGGGGATAGAAGGAAGACTGCAGGTTGAGTCTTAGAAGAACATGTGGGATGGGATGTGTCTGTTTGGGCATCCATAACAAAACAACAGAAGCTTAAATAACCGGAATTTGTTTCTCACAGTTCTGGAGGCTGAAAGTCCAAGATCAAGGTCCCAGACAATTTGGTTTCTGGTGAGACCTCTCTCCCCAGCACACAGGTGGCCACCTCCTCGTGTGGCCTCACATGCGGGGCTGTGCATGGGCACAGAGGGGGAGGGAGAGTTCTCTGCCATGCCATTTTGTAAGGATACTAATCCTAGGGGATCAGGGCCCCACCATTATAATTAAATTTATTTTTTAAACTCATTTAATTACTTTCTTACTGGACAGATTTCCAAATAAGGCATACTGAGGGTTAAGGCTTCAAACATGAATTTTGGGGGGACACAGTCAGTCCATAGAAAGATGTTTTACTCTGCTGGTTACTGTTTTTGGAGTTTAATAAAATGATTTGAAATTCAAAGGGAATAATAGGTATGCGGCAATATAGAACACCTGGCAAACATTTTTTAAAAGCATTATGTTCAGGAATTATGAGAATATGCAATAGAAACTCTGAATCTGCATAGGAAAAGACAGGTCAGAGGAACAAAAGAAACTAATAAATCTGAAAATGTGTGAAAAATTGCACAACAAAGTTGGTATTATTTAAGTGGTAACTGGATTAACCATTTAGTAAATAAAGAAATTCAAAACAAAGCAAGTGGCATATCATTTTATACAACCAGAAGTCCTCAGGGTAGAATTGCCTCTGTGGGGTGAACGGAATAGGGTTGATGCACGTGATCTCTTACGGCCA